GGGCATGGGGCAGCACAGGCCCAGGACAAGGGGAACTTACTTCATCTGCTTGACAATGGTGCTCTTCCCCGACTCTCCTGCTCCTGCAGGGACAAAGTGTGGGTCACGGTGGTGCCCGCAGCACAGGCACCCACTGCCCTCTGGACATCCCCCGTTGTGCCCTAGATCAACTCCCTGGTGTCCTGCAGCTGGCACGGCCAGGGCAGAGCCTTGGGGGCTGTGAGGTGAAGGGGAACTTACTTCATCTGCTTGACAATGGTGCTCTTCCCCGACTCTCCTGCTCCTGCAGGGACAAAGTGTGGGTCACGGTGGTGCCCGCAGCACAGGCACCCACTGCCCTCTGGACATCCCCCGTTGTGCCCTAGATCAACTCCCTGGTGTCCTGCAGCTGGCACGGCCAGGGCAGAGCCTTGGGGGCTGTGAGGTGTGCTAAGTGCCCAGGGCACACATCTGGACCCAGTGGCCCAGCACTGAGGGGTTGGAGAATCACCGTGCAGCTGTGATGGACGTTGTAGGAGGCCAGGCCTTGTCCATGACTTGGGGCAGGGGCTGGCATGGCGGATTAAGGCCTCATCTGTGCAGGCATTAGGTTGGGCTGAGCTGCTGCAGCCCCTTGGTACGGATAAAGGGATAAGCCGGGGATGTGCTTGGCAGTCCTGGGGAGGGGATAGGGCCATGGTGGCATTACTGAGCCCAGCCGCCTGCAGCCAGGTGCCCCAACCCCCTTGCAGCGCCAGTGGGACATGCCCTGGGCCACAACATGAGGGCAGTGATGAGACCTGAACCTGGGCCACACCCAGGGCGGCACCAAGCACTTGCACCCTCTGCCCCCAGGCACTCCTGGGGCAGAGGGGCAACTCTGTGGGACTGGGAGATCCTCACAGTGCTGGTGGGGAGCAGGGACAGACTCTAGGGTAGGGCAGCGGTGTTGCTGGGTGTGAGGGTGGTGAGGTGGGCTGGCTGGGTCTAGGGGTGCCTGGGAGCAGGGTTTGGGGAGGGCTGTTGGGTGGCGTGGGATGCTGGCAGGATGGAATGCAGGCAGGATGGTTGGGTCTGAGGGTTTTGGGGTGAGCTTTTGGGGGTGGGCTGTTTGGGTTAGAAAGGCCTGGGAGTGGGCACATGTTCAGTGGTTTGCTTGAGTGGGCTGCTGAAGTAGGCTAGTTATGTTTGGGGATGGCTTGGAGCGAGGGGGCAGCTGAGTTGGGTGATTGAGCTCAAGGATGCCTTGGAACAGGAACTGTCAATGGGGGGAGACTGTTGGGTGGGGTGGGATGCTGGTAGGATGAGATGCTGGTAGCATGGTTAGGTCTGGGGGTGCTTAGGAGTGGGAGGTTATGGGGTGGGCTGTTGGGTGGGCTGATTGGGTTCAGAAGTACCTAGAAGCAATGGGCTAGTGAGGTGGGCTGGTTGGGTGGGATGTCAAGGTGGGCTGTCAAGGTGGGTTGATTGGATTTGGGGGTGCCTGGGAGTGGGGGAGATGTGGAGAGCTCTTGAGAAGGGATAGTTTGGTTTGGGGTGGGCTCTTGGGGTGGACTGGTTGAGTTTGGGAGTGCCTTGGAATAGGAGGGCTGTCAGAGTGGGCTGATTTGATTTACAGGTGCCTAGGAGTGAGGGAGGGGATTTAAGGTGGGCTTTTGAGGAGGGATGCTTGGGTTTGGGGGGGGTGGGCAGTTGAGGGTGGGTTAGGTTTGGGAAGGGAGACTACTAGTGAGATGGGCTGGTTGGGTATGGGTTTGTCTTGCGATAGGGGGCTGTTGGATTGGCTATTGGAGTTGGCTGATTGGGTGGGATGTCAGGGGGGGGGAGTTGAGTTTGGGAGTGCCTGGCAATGGGGAGGGATGATGTGGGGGGC